GTGCAAATATGCAGTATTTTGGTTTAGTGTTGTCAGTGTGATGCAGAGTCTTGTGACATGATTTAGAGTTTTCTCAACAGTTCAGCTGTTTGATGGCAGTGAGAAAGAAACTGTTTCAGAATCTGCGGTGAAGCCTCTTCCCAGAGGTCAGCAGGGAGAACAGTCCATGGTGGAGGTGTGAGGGGTCATTGATGATGTTACAGGCTCGGGACATGCAGCGCCGGGGTGAAATTATTGTTTCAGCGCTAGAATCATACCTCATAAACTAGCTCACTGTGTGATACTCCTAGCTTGAAACAATTAGTGGGTTTTTGTTTTCATTGTTTGTTGTGCAATATGATTTTTTAACAGCAATTTTCACAGCTTGCCTTTTTTTTTTATTGTAGAAAGGCAGTTCAATTAAGAGCTTCACCTTTAACCTCTTTTCTTTCCTTATAAAAAAAAGTCAGCGATCTGCCTAAATTGCTGCACTTTACAGCCTTTTTGTCCATCTCCTGCTCCGTCCTTCTATCACTCATCACCAAGACCCCGGAGATTGATATTCTCCACTGGAGGCAAAAACGCTTTCCAATGGAGAATCGTTGCCACAGTGGTTCCCTCAAAGCTGCTTCGCGATTGCCTGCAAACTTTTACTGTCAATAAAGATAGTTATTCAAGGATGCCGAAAAACGCAATCGAATTCAAAAAAGACAAGATAAAACTCTGTGGTACCCAAAACAGACAACCCTTTCTTCCTAATTAAGCCTTTAAATTCTGTCACTGAGCACCAAAAACAGGGAGGCCTGGTAGAGTTCAACTCTCCCTATGAACAAACCTGACAGTGTGCCAGGGAAGGACCATCGCTGACTCTTTGGGTCAACCAGGATAGCATCATGGTTAAAAACCAAAACCAAAACATTCAACTCTTTTAGCGCCCCACCCCACCCCCCCAGCTCACACATATTACTTCTAAAAGTAATACTGAAGCTCTTTTCATTTGCACTGCCATTACTGAGCAGCAGCGAGGCTGACTAATGTATGTTTGTACAGTAAGCAAAAATACATTAGTCAGTGTACATGAAATGTCCATATTGTTATCCCACACCACAATCCTTCCCTTTGCTAACTAGGCAATCACTGCCATCAAAACCTCCAACTCAGTCCCCTGTAAGTGCTGTCAAAAAACACACAGACACTGAAGTCTCTCTGACAAACACACAGCACATAAACCATTAAAGACTAATTGAATCTAATTTATTTAGTTTTCTGGAAAGAATCATTTAAGGCAGAACTTCCCTAAAACCCCTCAATAAATGACTCTCATACCGTTTTACTCTCTTTTCAAACACAATTAAAAAATAATATATAAATATATACACATTGCAAATGACATGCATATGAGGAGTTCATTTTGGAGCCCGATCTCAGGTCATTAGTAACCCACCATGACGCTGTGGAGTTGGGGTCCGCTGGCGACATGCAGGCCCCTGGCCATTTATTCTATATTAAGTCTTTAATGGGCCCCCTCTCTCTCTCCCTCTTTTGGTTCTTCTCTATCTCTCCCTCCTGACACGCAGCATGTAGGCACAGCGCTGGTAAAATATGCACAGAAAGTCCGGTGCGCACACACAAGCAAAGCCATTCAAATGAATGGTTATTTATTCGCTAAACGAGGATCTGGGTGTTTAATGTTCCTTGGACGTTAGGTAGTTTTCTGGGGGAGGAAGAGCCATACCCCTACGGCTACAGACATCATTTATTTTACACATAGCCTAATACCGCACACTAGGCAGCCGCTGAGAAAAATGGGCTTTGAGAAGGAAAATATAAAAGAAATAATGAATGATTTTTTTTTTTTTTTTTTTTTTTTGGAGGGTGGGGTGAACACATTAGAGGTTGTTGCAGGGAGAGAAGCACTGGGTAGACTTAAAAGCTTAAACCCTACTTTGTTTTGTGTTTGTGCGTCTGCGCTCACAACAGCAACCTCCAAGAAGCACGGCAAAGCCGACAGTGAAAAAAAGATGGCAAATGGCAAAATGTGTGCGAATACGAAAGCCCGCTTCGGTGTTCTTGTTGGATTTTTGAATATCAGCAGGGAGGATGGTGATACATCACTGTGGGTGAGGCTTTCAGGCCTCCATCTACATCTCATCAAAAAGCGGAGGAATTAAACTTCAGAGAGGCTCCGCCGTTATACAAAAAACACCTCCAAAGAGTGACACAAAGCAGGTGAAACGAAACCAAAACATTTAGATCGCCCAAAAGTAACTTCTTGATGCATGAATGAAAAATAAATTATCATTTGTTATCAGTGTTCTTTTCATTTTTTTTGCACCCATCTATCATTTAGAAGACAGCAGATCATTAGAAGCCTCTATGAAAAAGTGGATGGTATAAAATCTGAGTTTAATCAGCATCATTCGTCCAGAAGGAGTTATAAACTCTAATAACTCTAGAAATAATCAAAATACAACATAAAAAAGTGTATTTTGGGGGGTTTTAAGAACTTATATGTTAGAGTTCAGCAATTTAACAGAATCACTTACTAATCATAAATAAAATCATCCAACTGAAATACCGCAAAGCAGCTTGAGTTTGACCTTTAACCCACAAGAGGTGCTTTTCTTCAGGTAACTTCAAAACAAAAATCCTCAACAGACATATCTTTGACTACAATCTGAAGAACTGGTGCGCTAGAATCTCTGAATATGAAGGTTTTTATGATTTCAATATGCCGCATTAAGTTTTATCCAAATGTCTGGCAAAGTTTCTTAAAGTTTTGCTTAAATGATAAAAAAAACCTATTTAGCCATTTTTGAAACCAAGAAAGCTTTAAAATATGTTTTTATTAGTTGTAACTTTTAATCTTAAATGTCAAGCCTCCTGAATCAAGAGATATTATTTGGTATAGAGTAATGGACCATAAACATTAATGGTCTCTCTCTTCCCTTACAAAAGTGATGGTTTCTAAATTAAAAAATAAGAATCCATCGTTATGTCCAATATAAGAGAGTTCTCCACTAAGATGCTTCTGATTGTTGAGCTACTGACTGCTGTGTTAAATTCAGTTGTATTAATTCATTTTTTTGTCTGAATTTGCTACATTTATCTAACTTTCTGAAGTTCCTCTTAGTTTTCCAGTTCCTGCTGAATTTGTTTTTTATTTTTCCTCCATGTGTCCTCTGGATCCCTCCTGACTTTCTTTAGGAGTCTTTTTTTGTTGGATTAATCCTGAATCATCATCCAGAGTAACAAATCTCCAGACTTCTAGTGGAGGAATAGAACACCTCGCCTGTTTCCAAATCATTTATGCACTATAAATACAAAGTTAACAATTGCATAACTCCTGGTCTCTTCTTAACTTAGAAATGTTAATCATGTTTTAAAAATACAATGTACAATATTCTGAATGTAATTGTATAATGTAATGTATATTTTAATATTGGAAACCTGCTCAGGGGCTGCAGATGGATTTTAGCAATAGCTAAATCTGTAAACTCGTCTCTTCTTTGAAGAAATAATGTACTTTGAACTTTTCCCCTGCCAAATAAACTAATAAACTAAACAAATGTGGGGAAACCAGAACCATAGTTAGAGGAGAATTTAATTTTCAACCTAGCAGAGAAAAGAGGCGGTAAGGAAAACCACTTAACCAGAAGGTTGATTGATCATAAAATTGCACAGGATAAATTCTAGCAGGTGCACCTAAGCCCTACATCCCCAAAAGGTGTACCTACAAGGTATTTTTGCTGACACACACAAAAAGCTAATTTCCTTGATGAAACACACCTGAGCCCACAATTATGAGGACAATACTGCCCTCCACACTCACAAATGTAACCATGCATAGTCTATATAAAGCAATGCATGAATGTCAGTCTGTTTTTAAATGACCCAGCTGGTTCGCTAGCTACCCCACAGTGGTTAAAAGCTTTAATAAATGAAACAAAAAATATAAAATAATTATTATAAATAAAATATGGAAGTTTCCTATTTTATGTATGGATATGTGAATTATTTTGGCTCTGTAATAAACTGCAGTCTGTAGCAGTGTTTTTTTGAGCATACAGTATTTAATTTACTTATATAAACTAGAATATTTAATGTAGATAAAATTTTATAAATATATATATATATATATATATATATATATATTTTTTTTTTTGTACATTGGAATTGTACGCGCTGACCTACAGATAAGGAGGATGCTGAAGGTTCGGTGGGTTGGCCTCAGCAAACTGAACCTCATTTAACAAATAATAATAATTATTATTATGGGCCAGGAAACCTTGGGTGAATCCTGAAACCTGGATTCCCTCCTACAGTAAGTCTCCCATTTTTAACATCCTCCAGCAGAGCAGCTTCCATCAAGCACCACTGAGTCACAGTGGTATTGAAATGTTTAGAGTAATCGTTCTGAATGCCTCGCAACTGTTTAAATCTATGTGTATTGATCTGCAGTAGGACTCGCAGTCTCGCACTGAAACTGGGATAAGAATATAATGATGAAAAAACATTTAAATAATTGTGTAAATTTGATTAACAATTTGAGCTGCTTATAGGCCTTTTTCAAAATTATTTTACGGTACGAAAGTATAGCTATGGTTCGCCAATTTATGGCGAACCATAGCTGTAATTTCCCTCTGGGATTATTAAAATATGTCTGATTCTGATTTGAACATGAATTACACCACAATATTTGAATGTTTATAATGACACTGATTAACATTGAGTAATGTTTATTTATATAAAGTTATGTCTCAGAGGACCTTAATGACTTAAACCTTAGAGCAGATACATGTATATTGTGAAGTTTTATTATTTGCTTGTTGCCCAAATAAAACTCAGCATTGGTCTAAATAAGAAAAAGAAAATAGGAACAATGGATTGCGGATAATCCTGCAATGAATGCAGATTTTTAAAGTAAAGTTGTAATTTAATTTGTCGTTTTGATTTGAGCAGAGTTGCATTTAACAACAATGTATGAAATCTGCAGCTTTAACAAAGAATAAGAAACAAACCTCCTTGTCTGTGGTCAGTGACGTGATTGCAAGAGTCATCTCTCCATCCGTAATCTCCTTCAGCTCCATCATCAGCAGCTGCATTAACTCTACATCCAGTCAGTACACACAAACAGACTAACAGTTATATAAAAAACACAAAATGATACAAAACAGTTTCACAACAGACAGAGAAAAACACAAGAATGAATATCTTAATCAGAAGCAGAAGTTATCCAGCCAGATGAGGATGATGGTCTGGATCAGAAACTCAAAACCAAATATTCAGAAAACCTACCTAATGAGGACTTTGATAATGCATTCAGAGACAGATTCCAATTTAACCTTCCTTTTTATTGTTAGTGTGGCTTAGTTCCAGTTTATTTTATCTCTATAACTGATAACTAAAATACTATTTGTGTGTTTCGAGGCTGAGAGGTTTGGATTGAGAAGAGGAAAATGCTTATTAAAGGTTAGTAAGATTTTATTATTGGAAGTAAATATGTGAAATGCATGCAGAATGAGTAGTCAGCGTCCTAATGATAGCAGTCAGCACAGTTTAAGGAATAAAACCTGAATTTTCATTCAGAAGTTAAGCAACTCAGAGCAGGAGGCATTCAAAGGGGAAATTATATTAAATAGTTTCAGACACCGCAGTGGCTTTAAACAGTTATTTACAAAGTCTGTGTTTCTATGGTTCATTGAAAAAAATACAATGTTGTGAACTACATAGGGCCAAGTTACTAAAAAAGAAATAGAACCATTTCAAATTAAAGATTTCAGTCACACAGTTAGAAGACCAATTTGAAAAGATTTGCATTTGACATTTTAAAAAGAATTATTGATGTTGAATTGTAAATTGTAGCTATTAATCCATTATCAAATACTGCAATTTAAAAATGTATTTTTAAATCCTATTTCTGAAAAGGGATTTAGAAACAACAAGTCATGTTTATAAATACCATTCCTTATCAAGGTGCGTTTTCTTTTTAGTCTACTTTCTGTATTTAAGTTTTTGCCTGACCTTCTGGTCCATGTGCACACTTACAGTAAAACAAAGGTAAACCAATCCCAGTGACTGTCTTTGAAAATGGCCTAGAGTTGTAAGAGAAAAAGTGACTACGAAGTGAAAAGAAAGGCCTCGGAAGAGGCAGATATATCCCAGAATGCTTTGCACGGATATCTCTCCTTACAAAGCAGTATGGGATTTGCTGTCACAGCGGCCTGCTGTCAGGCAGTTGCTCCTCGACAGCGGCACCTAATAACAAAGACGGCCCAGGCACCACACGGTGGATCAAAGGGGAAGTGATCATCTGTCCGAAAAGAAAGTTGGCTGATTTACTATATAGTCCCCGCTCTATATAGTGATTGAGGGATTTAGGGGTTAGGGCGGACGTTCGGACAAAGTAAGCTTGTATGAGCTATGAATACAGCAACTTTAAAACAGAGCGTGCACGAGGAGAAATGGGCTCGTGCATGCTCTCACATGCACATTATTTTTTTAAAGTGGTGAGGGTGGGTCTTTTAGAAAATTCAAGAAAACCCTCCACAATACCTTTTAATCACTGTGGCTAACTGTGTCAACAGGGCAGGTGCTGATGATGCAAGTGCTTTGAAGGAGATTTCTGAGATAAACCTAAAAGCATCCATCCAGCACTTAGATAGGTTTCTATCAAATTCAATGAGATTGAACTATTCAAATTGGAGATGCCAATGAGTTTCTATTCCAGTTCTGACCCGGTCGCTGGTCTGCCAGCTCTATAAACCAGTCAGATGGCGCAGTGGTTCTGACCCAGTCAGTGGTCTGCCAGCTCTATAAACCAGTCAGATGGCGCAGTGGTTCTGACCCAGTCAGTGGTCTGCCAGCTCTATAAACCAGTCAGATGGCGCATTGGTTCCTACCCAGTCAGTGGTCTGCCAGCTCTATAAACCAGTCAGACGGCGCAGTGGTTCCTACCCAGTCTGTGGTCTGCCAGCTCTATAAACCAGTCAGACGGCGCACTGGTTCCTACCCAGTCAGTGGTCTGCCAGCTCTATAAACCAGTCAGATGGTGCAGTGGTTCTGACCTGGTGAGTGGTCCACCCACACCACTACTGGTCAACAGGATCATACTGGAACTAACTGGTTGATGTGGTTTCAGCTGGTCAGTGAAACTTTCACTAGAGATGGAACAGTTTATCTGAGAAGATGCTGAAGACTATAAGGACAAGTCATCATGGCGCCTTAAGTGAGTCTGCTCTCACAGACTCACTTAAGGCTTTATGTTTAGAAACGGATGTTAAGTTGACAACAAGTGCAGAACTGATCACTTTGTAACTGCGGAATCAGTACTTCCTGTTGTGATCCAAGTGTGACTGACAAACCAATGAGAGAGCTGGTTGGATCCACGGAGCAACTCAGATAGCGCAAAAAGAAAATAGGAATGAAAAACTGTTAAGAGAATTCACAGGAACCAGAAGAGTCACAGAAACTGTATAATGAGAGGGTGAAGTAAAAAGAAATCCTGACTGCAAAAAAGGATTTGAAAAATGCAAAGTCAAAAAAGATAATGAGAGTGAAAACAGGAAGTATAATTTTAAACATCTGATAAGGAAAAATATTAATAATCAATTCAATTTGAAAACATGTTTTCAAATTGCAGTATTTGATAACAGATTAATAACTCCAGTTTGCAATTCATCTTTGGTGTCTTGACCTTTTTGGGTCTCCAAACTGGAGTCATCCATCACTGTCTTGCTCATAGGTTCCCTTTAAAAGAAGTTAACTTTCTTTTTGAAATGTGCCCATAGCTGAACTGATAAATAAAGGCTACTGAGTTTGATAACACTGCCATAGCTTTTCTAATCATCTTGCTAATACGACTCCACCATTTTTCAGAGATGGTCATAATTCCACTTTATCACAGCGGGGTAGTTATTAAAAACTTCCTGAAAAGTGATCACTGCATATATCTTCTTTAGATCTAAGGCCCTTTACCATAAAAAGAATCAGGAACCTTCTAGGTGTACTGGTCACTGACACTGGTTTTTCTTTTACTGCACCTTTTTGCTTCACTTTATCTGGCAGATTAACTGTGGCATCATCCCACTGCTCCAATGATCTTAAAACGTCCTCCAGTTCTTCTGGACCATGGCCACGTTTGATCCATAAAGCTTCTTTAAGTAGCGGCAAGGCATCTGGAGACGAACAAGACAAGCATGCAAAAAAGAAAAACTCCAATCAATAAGTAGAGAACAGTTCATGTTTGTGTAATTTGAAAATATGCTGACTTGACATCCGTCTGTAAAAGAAGTATCTCTAAAATTGTGGCGTAGGCACCTACTGAATGGGTGCCTACGAATCAATTTTACAAGGCAACAACATGTAGCAAATAAATTTCCTCTAGTATGATGTAAATTTCTCTGGGCACAAGCAATTTGGCTCATCTAATATGTTATAAACCGGAATATTGTACAAAGATCTGTTATAAAGACATATGACATGGATAACTCAGCATAATTTATTCTCCGGCTCAATTCCTTTGCCTGTTTTATTTCAACTGCTGTGGTTTACCCATTTTAGTAAGAGCTTTAATTCCAGACTCTTGACTGAAGAGAAGAAAACCAGCAGAGTACAGTATAAAGATGTTTTTTACATCAGCTCTGTGACACTGTTTTAATTGTTTTAAAGATAAAACAAATTTAATTTGTAATTTCAATTTTTTAAAACTTGCATTGATACTCTTTAAAGATGAAGCATTTGCATGTTTGCCATTACTCGCATATGAACTGGAATAACCAGCTCACGCTGAATCCTTGGAGTACAATATAATGTCAAATTCAAGTGCTCTAGGAGAGCTTTCTGCCTGATTATTGAGTCATTTTTAAATGGATTTTAGGCATTCATCTATAGATCCAACCAGAACCAAATCTATATCCATAGATCCAACCAGAACCAAAAGCTAATTCATCCAAAATATCTTCCAGGAACCTCCTCCACTGACCTTGACGGTGGCTGATAATTATAATAGTTTAACTTTATTGATCTCACATTGGAGAAATTTACCTCTGCGTTTAACGCATTCCTTGGGGAGCAGTGGGCTGCCATCGTGGTGCACCGGGGGAGCAGTGAGGGGGTTAATGGCCTTGCTCAGGATCCCCGAGTGGCATTCTGTGGGAGTTGGACTCGAACTCAGAACCTCAGGATTCAAAGCTCTATGCTCTAATCACTAGGTCACCACTCCCCTGATCTTAAAATAAAATAAAGATGATTTTATTTAACTTCCCATTTTGGGGCTGAAATGCTGTCGCAGCTTGGAAAACTAGTGGGTGGCCAAAGAACTCATAGGAACACCTGAAGTCAGTAGTTTGACGGGTTGATCACTGCATACCTTGAATTTCTTTGTTGTTTGGGTCGGGAAAAATAAAAAACTTGAAGAAAAGAACAAATCTGAACAACTGCTGAAGTTGAAAGAAGTTAGATTTTGGGTCTCTATGTTCCGTTCTATGTTTTCTTTTTACCCATACTCACCAACCCTTATCGCACTTTCCCCCCGATCTTTCCTGGTGGGTGTTAAGCGAGTCATGTAAGGGGATTTGTGTGTGTCCTCCTTCATCGCCCCATTACTCCCTCCAGGGGGGGTTGCCTTTGCCTCTCTCACCTCTGAGAAGCTCCCTCAGCGGTGCTCTGCTCTGCTCCGCTGCTTCTTGAAGAATCTCTCTTGCAACTGTTGTCAGCGCGGACAGTGCCCCATCATCCACTGCGTCCCGCTGCCCATCCTGATGGACAACTCGCAGGATGCTGGACTCCAAAGTGTGGTACTCAGAGCTAGGAAGAATAAAGAGATTTACAAGAGGGGTGAAGGGGGTATGGAGTGCTGCAGGGCAAGAAGTTATGATTGTGAGCCATTTGAGCAATTGCAATTTTCCTTAGGGTCATAAGAGGACCACATAGAGGCCCGTAATGCACACAGATTCTTATCTAAATTGTATTTTCACAAGCCTTTGAAAACACAAACAAGACATAAAAATCTTAAAAAGACATTTGAGTACCAAAGGGCAACCATTAATTACTGTATTTTCATTTAGTGCAACAACTCTCAGGTGAAATTTAAAAGGTAAAGTTTTTAAGCTAAATAAACTCACTTCAGCTCAGGAGTGTTGGTATGATTTACATTTTCTCACCTCTCCAGCACTCCGTCTCTCAGCAGACTGAGCAAAAGCTTTCCAGCTTGGTGGAGATTCATAAGGTCTACATCCTCCCTCCAGAACAACAAGCTCTCACTAATTTTCACTCTTTGTAGATATCTGACGGTCTCCTCCGGCAACTCTTTGCTGCACCGCTTCCTGCACAGCAAGGGTACACATACTCCACCTGAGGGTTGCATCTAGATCACAAAGAAACACACAGAGAGCAAAAACTAAATCAGCTTGGAATTAAATGTTCCTATAGACCATGTAAAGTACAGTTTGATACAGTTATGCCTCTTAAATGAAGACCATTGCTCTGCTACCCAAAACCTACCTGCTAACTTTCCCAAAAAGGCTCAAGCATGTTATACTACATCACCTAAAGGCACAATGAATAAAAAAAACAGATATTTACTAGTGTTGCACCGATACCGAATATAATGGTGGTATCGGTATCGGCGAGTACCAACAAATAGGGCACCGATACCATTTTGAGAGCCAAAAGTTTCTTCAACTATTGTCACCCATTCCAGGTAGACAATAAAAAGTTCTACTGGATTCACTTTGTATTTGATTTTTTCCTGCTTCACAAAGGTAGGCAGCAGCTTGACAAAGCCATGATGGCAATTATTTTACATTATTATGGTATCGGTATCGGCCGATACTGCACAGCGAGGTATCGGGGCCAAAAAATGGCAACGGCGCAACACTAATATTTACTGATCTGGACCAGAAGTGTACCAAATCAGTCCTTGAGGGCCAGAGTCTAGCAGCTTCTAGAAGTTTCCGTGCTTTAAAGAAGCTGATTCAGATCAGAGAGGCTAAAGAGGAGAGCTTTGCCGGTGGAAGACCAAGAAAGTCAGGTTTCTAGAGGATCCAGTACTTAGGCAGCACTGCTTGGCAATCCATTAAAAAAATACAGGCTGCTCTGTGACAGACCCAATACTTTTGGTAATTATTTTACAACTTACACAACTAATACAAAAAAATGGTACTGATTAAGATTTTTTACAGCATTTCATAGTTCTGCCGTTAGCCATGTGAAATGTATTTTTTTAGATCCTTTTTCAATCATGTTCAGTCGACTCATATGTAAAATTTATAAATGTTAATGTTTTGTTTATATGATCAAAGACAAGTAAAGCAACCTAATTTTAATTTTCTACCACCATACTCCGCTAACATCTAAGAAGATGCTAGCACGAGTGGATAACTTGCCTCTCAGTGCTGATGCTCTGTGCATAACCCTTACACTTTGAAATGTTGCCCATTGTAGCCAATGGAGTTATCAGAACTTTTCTATTTAATGGCTCTGATTGAGATGAGGAAATCAGGTGTGACGAAGCAGGGAAACATTTCACACAAGCAGGACACTCGCCCCTCGAGGAATGACTTTGGACGATAATAGTATTGTCTCAAATTGAGTGTTTAACGATCTCTGTTTGATGAGGAAAAATCTAGATGACATCGGACCAGCTTGAATCTACAAGATGTTGAACTAGAGATGGACAAAAGCAGTCCAGACATTGTCTTATATTATATATATAAAATATAACCAAATCATTGTTACTAACCTAAAGGAAACTTCAGTATCATCGGGCATATGCAGTGTTTTTAATCAAAGAACCATTTGATTGACCAAATGAGCACTTGGGCAATAGTGCAGTCGTTAAGGGTGAAGTTAAGGATACATTTTTTTATGTTGTACCTGTTAATCTGTGATGCTCTGTGCAGAAAGCCATATTGCTCATAGGAAGCACCAAAACTGGTTGGATAAACAAAAGTTTCACATGTAGGAAGTAATTAAACTGTAGCAACTAGAAAAGCACGGAGAATACAGACCTCCTCCAAGTGGTGTATTTCCCGTTGCAATTGGACTTCCACCTTAAGTTAATAACTGTATTCACAGAGTCTTTCAGAATTTTCGTGTTTTCCGTTACGTGCAAATCAATGAAGTCATTGCCACAATATTTCAGGTATTTCCTACTTTTTTGTGGTTCATCGACTTGTTAAAGTGGTGTCAGTGCCGTTGGATGTAGGAGTTTGCCCTGAAATCAAAGGGTTGACGGTTCAAGCCCCGGCTCCGGCTTCAGTGTCGTTGTGTCATTGGGCGAGACACTTCACCCGCATTGCCTATGGTGGTCATTAGGCCAGTGGCGCCAGTGTACAAAGCCTTGCTTCTGTCAGTGCGCCCCAGGGCAGCTGTGGCTACAATGTAGTTTGTCACCATCAGTGTGTGGGTGAATTATTGAATGTAGTGTAAAGTCAAGTCTCCTGACTTGAAAAAGCGTTATATAAGTATAGGCCATTTACATTTGTTAGCTAGTGTGGTTTCTCTATAATGTGTGGGAATTAACAAAAGAAACTAAAGGTGGTATGCCTCTAATCCATCTCTGAACCACAATGGAGGTAAAACGGCATATATTTTGAAGGTAAAGTGCTTTTAAAGGAGCTTATTGTTAAAATATGTATCAGGGTTTTTTAAAGGGCTGTTGACATCACAGTACAGAGGCTGAGTGGCTACAGAACAAAGCGACATCCTACATCCATCCACCACTCCTCTACACAGAATAATCTGTGCTCGCAAATAAATTTTAACCCCTTTTAGAACTTGAATCATAAATGTACAGCAACTGATGCTGTTATTACCTGACTGAGATGTAGTGCTAAACACAGTGTTGCAGCCACAGTGTCCACATCAGGCTCTGGTCCTCCTAAGACAGCATGGACAGGACCTCCAGGTAAACCTGCCTGAAAACACACACAAAGAATCTCTGTCTTTGTTTCTCTGCATTTTATTTAACTCAATCAGCTATAGTCAGATGTACATTTGGAAAACATACTATTTGCTTTTACAGGGAACAGCTGATTATAGGCAACTATACATTATTAAATAGCTTAAACTTACATCCCCACATATTCTAAAGATCATTAAGCCAGTAGGTCCATATTGGATGGATGTAGCATCTAAAAAACCCACTTTATGAATTAATAATAAAAACCCCGGTTTCACATGATTCAGCTCAAGTTTGACAGGTAATGCTTTTAATCAGGGTTGGTGAAGGTGTCAGAAAATCACTTCTAACAGCCGAGCAACAGGAATGCCTTTCACCTCTCAGTGTCATGCCTTGTCAGAGCAGCGATTAGTTCCACTGGCTACATTTAACGATGAGGACAAAAACTCCCCATTTCGGGTAAATGGACATTAATGAGAGCTCCACTGCAAAGATTACGCATTCATTTCTGTGCAAGAAAGGCAGGAAATTAAGTCTCTCCCCTCATTTGTTGACTAGGATTCTTGGAATTGTCCTTGAAAGTGGGTGATAATTAATGATCTTCCAGCACAATCCAAATAGGTTTGAACACAGGGCAATAGTGTAAACAAACAAACATGAGGAAATTCAGAATATAATGTTTTTAAAATGTTAAAAATATCCCAAAATGAGCATATTTATAAACAATTTGAAAAATAAACAGAAATGTCCCAAATTAATTTTAGAAAGCATGAAAACAACCTAGGAGCGACTATGCACAGCATGTCTTGTTCTTTGTTGATCTATTCTGCCTTACCTCCCAACAGATAAGTCCAATCACCGCCTGCACAAGCCCTGCTGCAAGCCTGTAGCGTTAATTACGAGGCAAAATGCAGAAACAATGACTAGCCTTTCTATCTGGAAAAAAATCTTAATTGGTTTGTAAGATGTTGAAATGTCAAATAACGAAATAAACCAAAAAAAAGACCTATGCCAATCTTTTTATAATGTTCCCCCACATCTTCTCTAGAAAAATCTGAATGGCTTTTCATTCTTTTGTTATTTTAAAGAAGCTAAACAAAATGAAAGGCTGGTTTATTTCCTTAGTCAACATTTTTCCCTACAATGGTAGAAAAGTAGAATAGATCCATGTACAGTGCTGTAAAAACATATTCCCACAACTTACCTCTACATTTTCCAAACACAAGAATTTGATATGAATTCAAAATCTGAAAAGTGTGGCATGCATCCAATCTCAATCAAAACCATATTTTGGTGTAAGACTTTTAATGTAAGTTTCTAGCAGCTTTAAACTTTTAGACACTGATACATTTGCCAATTTATTCCAAAGTCCAGAGTGAGCATCTGTGAATCACAGTGGATTTTTTCCTGTCTGAGCCTCCAGAGGTTTTTTCTTATCACCTTTCAATTTCCATTTCAACTTCAAACCCAAAGAAAAACACCTCCAAAGCACAATACTGCTACCAACATACTTCTTTGCTTTGTAAACTTCTCTGCAATGTTCTCCCTGACATTACTTGTTTCAGTCTTATGTTTCAACACTGGTCAGCTGACTACCTTCTGTTGTTTATATCAAAAACAAGGATGAATTTCAGATTAAATATCAGACAGGCCTCATGTTTAATGTTCCCCACCAACCTGCACATGCCATCGTAGAAGTTTGCATTGGAAATTTGTACTTGAACTGAGATTAAAATACACAAAACTGGATTAGTCATTTAATGTCTGAAGGTAGTATGTTGGCAATAGATTTTATTTAAGAGAATAAAAGCAAAATGGGAGGCAACAAAAGCATGCAACATTTTCCAGAAAGTTTAATAACATAAAAAAAATAATAATAATTTTTCTGGGTCAGAATTATGTTGTGTCTATTATTTCTGTTCAGGTCCAGCACATAAACACAAATTAAGTTTGTGTTTATGTGTTTATGAAGTAAAAACATGTCAAAAAAGCTTGATGGATATAAAAAGGTTTATTCATTAGTGCACTCTTAACATGGTTAGTACACTTCAGTACCCCAGTCAGTCCTCCAACATAATTTTTTGTTTAATATGAGGGAGAATCTTAAGCCAACCAGCTTTTATGAACAAATGTTATCACTTGAACACTGGGTGACGTATTTAACTTCCAATGACTAGTTAAAGCTCAGTCGGCAGAGAAAAGGTTAGTGGCAGTCAGTTAGCCTGAGAGTGTGACTAGAAAACATCAGGTGAGATTGGATGAGGATTTAAAAAGACCTCAAAATGAAGAGCTGGGCTGAAAACAAATATGGTGGATCAGATATGTAGAAGATCAACTAGAAGTAATGTAACTTAATGGGTGAAAAAATATGCAAATCAGTGATAATCAGAGGTTAAAATCAGAAGGTACAGATCTAAGCAGAGGTGAAGAAGGCATTAGGAGAGGAACGTTAAGAGGAGAAGATGTGTGAGAGAAGATATGATGCAGTTCTTTCATAAGAGGGAGAGAGGGAAGATAAATCAATACTAGATAGGCAGCAGGGAGGAAGTGATGCATTAGCGGGAGAAAAGGCCAGTGTCCGTGCAACTGCAACAGGAAAATACTGGTGTGTGTATATGGGTGTCCACATGAGCATGTATTAGTCATCTGATATCTTTCAGCTGAAGTGCTCTGCTCTCTTCCTTTAAAACATTCCAGATCACTCTCCTTCTTTGGATGATGGTCAAGAATACCTGTTTTTTTCAGCAAGACAGTACTGCTACTGCTGCTCTACAGAAAACAATTTGATTTTTAACATTTTAAAAAAATGTTTTGCTATTAATTTCCCATTTTTATCTCTTCCGAGAGAAAGTTTATCTTTTGACAACACAACTTAAAAAAAAAACTTCAATGAAAACAAGCAGCATATTTCTGTTTCTCATAGATCTATTTTGCTCCAAGATAATGTACTAAAGTTGCTGGGGATTTTTTTAATAAAAAGCCCTCCTTCTGTGACCCAGTTCATAACCAAACAGAACCCCACCACCTGACATCCATAAGACAGAAATCAACTCTCAATCTAAGTTGGGCAGAATGAAATAGCATATTGTCCTTTATTGTCCAACGATGAAAAAATGTAGTTGCAGCGGCAGCATAATGAACCATTAATTGAAGTGTGCAGATATACACAAGGATACAAAATATAGCATAAACAAAAAAAAGATAAGAGTAGTAAGAGTAGGGGGGAAAACTGTATTTATTTAAAATTGAAGAGTCCAGGAACTGAGGTGTGGAACTGAGAAGGGTGATTTAAAAAAAAAAAAACACTGTAACAGTGCAGGTATATTCATGCATAAACAATCCAACAGGCTACTTACATGAACGACAAACTGTAAAAGTAAATGAAGGAGATAAAAACCAAACTTCCAGAGGAAAGCAGTGGTGGTTCTAAAACTGACCCTAGGGGAAAGGATCTGCAATAACTCTCCTTCGTGCACTTAGGGTGCAGTCTGTCACCGAAAGAGTTCCCAGCTCTGCTTGATCTGGCAGACACTGTCTAGTGGTGATGTTATTTTTGCCACAATTCTTTTTCTCCAAACCTACTCTTGATCAAGGGGACATCCTAGAACAGCCCTGGCCTTCCCATTAATTGTATCTTATTATTTCATCTGAAGATTAGGTCCTGCTCTAATATTCTACACCATAGAACATGACTGAGGCCTCCACAGAGTAAAAAAGGGTCTTCAGGCTGCAAATTACATAATGTGACTCCAGTACAACTTAAGCATCATCAGCCACATGGTGTAAAGCAGTATTTCCATACAGAGTCACCAAAACAAAGCTTAGAGGCAAAATAATTTACATAGAAATATAGATTTAAACACCACACATCCTGCCTGCTGTTGACTGGACATGAAAAGAAGCAGAAAACACAACAGATTTTCCTCCAACCTTTTGCCTCATGGCATCTCCTGAGACTGTGCTGCCCTATACAGAGAGTCATATTGCATGTCTGAAACACCTCCGGCCGTAGCAGATATGATTGGCATTAGATCCATTTTACATCTCCTCTTCACCTGTAAAACCCATGATTAAGTAGTTAATTTGGCCCATTCTGTGACCCAGTACTAATTTTCATGCTCATAGATATCATAGATATTCATAGATATCAGTATAATGTAAAACTAACAGCACCTCAGACACGCAGTTACAGTAGTTAATAAATAACATCTGACAGAATAAAAGTTTAAAAGCCCCTTCAAGTGTGTGGATGCTATAAGTAATCTGATCTTACAGTTTGAGCTCTTTGCAAAAAGATGATGAGCTGAAGAGCAAAGAACTAAGAAGAAGAGGAGATGGGTTCAGTAAGTATGGGTAGAGCCAATCCAATTAAAGGTATGGCTGTTCTGGATCAGGGCCATCTTTAAAGTGAGTGAAAAAAAAAACTCTTAGAGAATGGCAAAGATAATGAGAGGTATGCGAAAGTCTGAATCATCAAACTTTAGACTCGAGAGATTCTTTCAAGAGATTAAAAAAAATGTGCACAGTATGTGTGAATTCAAAAAAACTAAATGAGCATAAATATGTTGCACCTCGTCTGCAACTTCAAAGGCACTCACCGCTTTGCCTCTTTGACACCTGATTACCTCATGGTGCTCTGATTTGCAAATGTACATCGTTTCTTTTTTTGACAGCTTACACCGCATTCTACTGAAGCACTTTGAGGATAAAGGTTCCTGATTTTTCTTTAAAATGTCCTTCTAGGCAGGTGTGAGACACATTCATACACCTGTTTTCACGGCTTTCCAATGCATCTGCAATTTGTTCCCAAAAATGAAAATTTTTGTTACCTTATAACCACAAGTTTCAGTGCATTTCATTAGGATTTTATTTAATAAACTAATGCAAAGTAAAACAGATTTGGTCTTGAAAATGTTGCTGGCCATAATTGATAGGAAGATGGACAGAGCAAGACACTAAATGCAGGGCAATCCTAAAAGAAACCCTTTGGAGGCTTTATATTGGGGGCAGTGGCTCCTAAACCCAAACAAAAATGATCGGCAAGATTTCAAGTGCTCTACACAGATTCTCTCCCTGCAATATGTCTAAATTTAAGCTATTTTGCAAAGAGGAATGGCTTTATATATTTTTTTTATCTCCAAAGGTGCAAAGCTTATAGAGTAATACCGCAAGGTGTTTTTGCAAAAGAACAGATTCAGGGTTAAAACTCATATACATAACATTCACACTCTAAATGTTTATTCTGATATTTTACATTATGCAACTTGTTCTATGCATTTACAAAAAAAAAAAAAAAAATCCACTATGATTTGGTTTGTCTCCCACAGCCTAATAAAATGCATTTAGTGTATGTATTTGTAAAGCTTGTAAGCTTAGCAGCTTTGCATTGAGCTCTGCATCATCCATCTGTAAGCAGACTTCATTTATTCTTACCCATTGTTTGATTTGCTATGATGATTTTATCAACAAACAATAACCTGCAAAATGAATAGATTGGTTTTGTTTTTGCTGTTTTGCAGAATGATAGTTTTGGATTTTATCCTACAATTTAAACAATATCACTGCATCATCAGAGATCATGTGTATCTTGTGAAGACAGTGATTTATAAACTTGGGGTTATGGTTAAGGGTGTTCAATGGTGTTGAGGCAAATATTATCTGATCAATCATTGCAATTGTTGTAAGAAGTAAAACCTTTCTGGTGCTTTAACCCCTGACTAGTCTCAGAGAAATGACCCAAATTGCCTTCAACCTCTCCTCCTCACTGATCTTTTTACAAACCAGGAAATATTCACACAATCAACGTCTTTGTGTGCAGAGTAAATGAGTGACACTAAATGGTGATGCTGTGAAGATAAAACAAAAAGTGCATTAGGACCAGGAGAAGGTCTAATGGTTTCAATAACCTGCAGGCCAGCGCAGATTGGATGTTTACGGAAATATGCGGAAAGATAACAGCTTGCAGATATAAAAATGCTTCACATTGGTTCTGTCGGTCTCTTATTTGCATGAGGCTTTTGGAAAGGTTGCTTTAACACACTGAGCCCAACATCAAATGGAATTTAAGTCTGCTGAGGAAAGACAAGGAGTCTCAGGACAAACTTGTTGATGTCATGTCTTTTACGCACAAGATACCAGATCATCTTCTGGTTGAAATGCAAACCCTGGTGATCCTGTAAACGCAACATGCTGCTTGTTTGGACCCAATACGCGTCGATAGTCAAAATACTGGAGATCTACAGGTGCTTATTGGGGGGTGGGGGCTCTATGGGGGGGTGGGTCAAACCTTCTTTAGCTGTTCACTGTCTGAGCAACAGGAGCGCAGCTTGTAGCGCAGCAGAAGCTGCTTCCCCGTCACGATCTCATTCATCATCAGCGCAACTCACCCCGAGCCTGCTCTGGACCCTCCGCAAATACTCCTCCATGTCGGCCTGCGTCGCTATGGCGTCGCTGCAGATCTCTCCATAGACCAGGGCTCAGGATGGGGAATAAACCTGCAATGTTAACGTGTGTGTGTGTTTTTCTCTCTCCGCTTCCGAGTCTCCCGCTGAGCTCGTACTGCAGCAGTCTCCGCTGAGCTGTCGGTCCTCCCCCTTTTTTTTCTCTCCCACGGAGTGAACCTGCTTGGCGCGCGTGGGTGTGACGGCAGGAAGAGGAGATCCGACGGAGGCGCGCGCTCTGATTGAGGCGATTCAGCCGCGCTCCCTGCGGTACATCCCCCCCTCACAGACACCCATTCAGACCCACCGTGCCCGGCTGGCTGCTTGCCTCAGCTTCGGTCAATAACGTAATTAATTCAGGTGGTGAATGAGAAATTGTTGCTTTCCAGCACCCTGCATGTCACCCCTTCACTGCTAGTGACTGAGCTTTCACTCTTCTGGTGCACAGGGGGCAAAAATACCGCAATATGATCCAGACCACAGATGCAATCACTGCAAGACATCTGCAATACCCCTAACCGAGGGAGTGCTGAAGGAAACACTTCAATTAATCTCCAAAATTACTATCTATCTATCTATCTATCTATCTATCTATCTATCTATCTATCTATCTATCTATCTATCTATCTATCTATCTATCTATCTATCTATCTATCTATCTATCTATCTATCTATCTATCTATCTATCTATCTATCTGTAATTAGTTTTCCTTACAAGTGCTATATTTGTTTTTAAAATTAAAATACTGTAAAAATAAACCTGACATACCAGCAAAATAAAAGATGTTTTCTTTACAATTTATTTTTTATCTGAAATAAATAATCTTATCATTCTAAATGCCATTTCTTGTGAGGATATTAATATTTGATTTGACCACAAATGGCTAAAACTACCCAAAAGGGCATATAAATAGGAAAGAGATGTATTTGTTGTACTCCGGAGTGATTTGAGTTTTAAAGAACTGACCAAGCCTTTTCAAATGTATATATATATATATATATATATATATATATTAGTGTTGCGCCCGATAACTGGCTGTGCAGTATCGTCTGACCGATACCATACCCATACAATCTTTTTAAAATTGATGTGTGTGTGTTTGAACAACTGCAAACTACTTGGATGTTAAATAATTGCCATCGTGGCTTTGTCAAGCTGCTGCCTACCTTTGTGAAGCAGGACAAACACTAATACAAAGTGAATCCAGACAACCTTTTTATTGCCTACCTGGAATGGGTGACAATTGCTGAATAAACTTTTGGCTCTCGAAATGGTATCGGTGATCTATTTGATGGTAATCCCCGATACAGATACCACGATTTTAGTCCTGGATCGGGGCCCTGCCCAATACTGGTATTGGTATCGATGCAACACTAATATCTATCCATCTATCTGTCTGTCCATCCGTATATATATATATATATATATATATATATATATATATATATATATATATATATATATATATATATATATATATATATATATAGATATATATATATATAGATATAGCTATATATATAAGCAGTTTGGTAATTTGAAGCAGAAAGAAAAATGTACGTGTGTAAGTGTTGGACAATCAAAACAACTGCCAACATCCTCGACGTCTGGCTGGCTGAGCAAATTTACCTTAAAGGCTGACCGTAAGATGTTAAAAAGAGTCTTCAAAAATCCTAAAACCTCATCACAGGACCTACAGCAGATACTTGCTGATATGAAAGTGCATAACTTGATGGTATAATTTTAACATTTATGTGAGGTGTGCAAAGAAAAAACCCTTAGTATACATGTATAAAAAAAAAAGAGTGAAGGGCCGTAAAACTTTACCAGACAGAAAAAGAAAGACTCTGGCTTTAAAGCAATGTTGGTTTTTTTAGACTGAATCATATTTTGCTGGATACCAGAAGACATATTTAACAAAGGAAAACAAAATTACATCCCACAAGAAGAACCTCCTACCAGCTGTGAATCATGGAGGTTGAAGAGTCATGGTTTGGGGATGTTTTGCTGTAGCATGACACTTGCCACCTCACTATCAACCCTTCATGAAGTCTACTGAGCTCTAAAGATGATTTGTTTCTACACTGTAAAAAAAGTCAGTAAATTTACGGTAAAAAAAGGTAAAAAACCAACAGTTTTTGACCGTCGTATCCAAAAACATTGCATTACCGTAGAAATTACATGGAACTACCGTAAGTCGAAACTGCAAAGAAAGTCAGTAAATTTACGGTAAGAAATGGTAAAAGACCAACAGTTTTTGACCGTCGTATCCAAAAACATTGCATTACCGTAGAAATTACATGGAACTACCGTAAGTCGAAACTGCAAAGAAAGTCAGTAAATTTACGGTAAAAAAAGGTAAAAAACCAACAGTTTTTGACCGTCGTACCCAAAAACGTTGCATTACCGTAGAATTACATGGAACTACCGTAAGTCGAAACTGCAAAGAAAGTCAGTAAATTTACGGTAAGAAATGGTAAAAGACCAACAGTTTTTGACCGTCGTATCCAAAAACATTGCATTACCGTAGAAATTACATGGAACTACCGTAAGTCGAAACTGCAAAGAAAGTCAGTAAATTTACGGTAAGAAATGGTAAAAGACCAACAGTTTTTGACCGTCGTACCCAAAAACGTTGCATTACCGTAGAATTACATGAAACTACCGTAAGTCGAAACTGCAAAGAAAGTCAGTAAATTTACGGTAAAAAATTGTAAAATGCCAGCAGTTACTGACCAGAATATTCACAGCATTATACTGCCGTAGAAAATACATGGCATTATCATAACTGAATAAATATATATCCTAAATAATTGTGACAGTCACGAATGTAGAAAATACAGAAATATAGTGTAAAAATATAAGTAATTGTAAAGTTCTTAAAAAATTGTAATATTGCCAGCAGTTAATTACCCTAAACTTAACAGTAGCAATCAGCTAAAATTACAAATTTTGCTGATGTTTAGATCTACAATGTAAAAGCGTAAACAAGACTGCAAAAGAATTTTTTACAAAGAACAGAATGCTGGTGTGATATTCTGGTTTCTTTTTTAATAATGCCTTTAATACACCAAACTGAAATCTCAGCAGTAGACAAGGCATCGATCTGGCGATCCACCGATTGCAAAGCAAACTCCTACAGCCAACGCCACCATCACTTATGAGAGTATTTGATCATTAACATTAAGAGAACTGTATGTTAGCCCCTCTTGCTTGAATGAAGCTGAAGTTGGTTTCCAATTGCTGCTTCCAATTTGGGAAATGGCTAAAGGGCAATTCCACCTAATTTTTCACTACAATCAGCATCTTTAATTTACTCTAGCTAAAAAACTACAACACCTAGACTCTTCAAATCTGGACTAGATTATTCTCAACTCATATCAGAATATTTAAAACCAAGTGTGGGGTTTGTAAAACCTTTATCTGATTTGTGAAACTTCAATAAAGAACAATTCTAGTGTTATCCAAAATCATACAAGTTGTAAAGTCACCCATCATTGAAGTTTCACAAATCCCACACTTGGTTTTAAATATAGTGCTATTAGTAGAGAATAGTCTAGAGCAGGGGTCCCCAAACTTTTTCCTGCGAGGGCCACATAGCTGTTCCTTTCTCTGCTTGGGGGCCGGTCTTAGTTTTTGGAGAAAGATACCTTAGAAACTTATTGTCGGCGGGGGGGGGGGCTGTTCTGTCTTTGAAACTGTCGACGGGTGGTGGGGGGCTGACTACGCCACATCCGCGGTCGCTTTTAGATAGATTTTTACCCAGAATGGAAATGGAAAAAAAAAACCGTGAGTGAAACGGTTACTGGGACTGACTAGTATATATTTGAGGGAAAGTTAGTTTAACATCTGCTCAAGAGCCCCCTGGTGGTTGAAGAAAAATCCACAAACCAGAAAATACAATATATGAAAAAAATACACTGAATGCTCTCTGGTATGAGGAGGCAGGCCGGATCCAGCATTGCCAGACCAAATGACACAGGCTGTAGTTTGGGGACCCCTTGTCTAGAGAGTTTTTCATTTTGTTATTGTGATAAATAGCAGGGTTTACAGTAAATGGAGACTGTTATTTGTCATGTAAACAAATAATTATCTAGTTTGCATTGCTGCTTGATCCTTCAGCATCAGCAGCAAGATTCTTTTAACTCTGTTCCTGTAGTGGTGTCCTGAACTCAACACAGTAAAGTCACTGTGCTAACTAAGGTTGCTAACTAGGGTGCTGAGAGCCCAGTAGGCCTGGTCCTTGTCAAGATGCTGCTACTGTCTTTGAAATCAAATTTCTGCTATTTTTGCACGTTCAGGAGGAGAAGGGCAACACATCACAGGTGAGTCCCTTTCACGGTTTTAACTGAAGTTAGCTAACTTTAACCAACTGACAAAGAAATGTGTAGTTTCTGAGCCATGCTGTTTATGTATATGCACTGCAGCTATATATTTTTACTATACGGAACATTTAATCTTCACAGATGCAACACTTCCATTAATGTTTCTGTAGGAACGGCTGCATAGATTATATTTCTGGTCTACTTTAGACTACATGTGCTTAAAGTTATTGTTAATGGCAGAAGCAACTTTTTCCAAGTTTGGTTCAATAATTAATTTGAATTACTTTGAGTGTGAAATGTTCATGCATGCAAGTTAAATCTCTGAAGAACATGTTAGCTTTTGTTTCAATACTTTGGTAATACTTAGAAGTATAAAGCTTGGCATCAGAGATATTATTTAATATTTTCCTTTGACGTCTTGACTCTCACCCCCAAAATACTTGCACTAAAGTCACTGGGTCCATGACAGTTGAAGGATTTTAAAATAAGAGAATTTAAATATTAATATTTTACAGCTTTTCTCAGTTTGGGTGCATCTCTCAGAACAGAATTGAAATTCCTAAAACTACCTGTACAATCTTCAAATTACTGTGTCACTTCTGCACATCAAAAAATTAGTTTTGCTTTTGTACATCATGTAGCTGGTTATGTACACTTCTATGCTTTTATAATTGTAATTTGCTTTTATCGTCTTGATCAAAATATGTTAACCCTCCTGTTGTCCTCGGGTCAAAATGACCCGCCACTGTGTTAACCCCCCCCCCCCCCAAAATCCCCTAAATGTAATTTTTTTAACTTGAGATTTTAAGACTTTTCCTAGATTGGCCCAGACAATAGAAAAAGTTCAGTGTTGCTTTTAGTCTCATTTCCATGTAAGCTGTACAAAAAAAGGTACAAAGATGGTCTTCAGGTCAAAATGACCCGTGAGGCAAATGGAGTTGAAATCAAGGTCACAGAGTTATTTACAAACCATAAAATGTTACAAAGTTTTAGTTGTGTCTCAGATCAATCAGTAGCAGAAGTAAGCAGAGAGTGGAAGGCCAATTTTCCGAGCCACAATGCCACTCAAACTCTTTCACACCTACTCAAGACTGATGCGATTTGATGACCGTGAATCAAGACCAGCAAGATGTATGACAGACAAACTTGCAGCCATAAGAGAGGTATGGGACAAGTGGGTGGAGCGGTTACCCTACCTCTACAATCCAGAGCCTGATGTAACAGTGGATGAGCAACTGGTTCTATTTAGAGGTAATCTGTTTTCATATTTGTAATAAAAGTGATTTTCACTATTGATTTCTTTGACTGTTTTCTGTGACACTGATACTAATCACTGATGCTAATGTCTTTTGTCCAAAGGTTGTTGTCCTTTCCAGCAGTATATGCCCAGCAAGCCAGCAAAATATGGGATCAAGTCATGGGTGGCTTCCGAATCAAGCTATGCTTGGAAAATGCAAGTCTATACTGGGAAGTCAACCAGTGGATGCCCAGAGAAGAACCAGGGGTTGCGAGTTGTGCTTGATGTGACAGAGGGACTGAGGGGTCACAATGTGACATGTGACAATTTCTTCAACTCTTATGAACTCGGACAGCAGCTCCTGAAGAGGAAGATCACCATGGTTGGTACAGTTCGAAAGAACAAGCCTGAGCTCCCACCTGCACTGCTTGGGTCAAAGGAGAGAGAGGTCTTCTCCTCAAAGTTTGCCTTCACACCCACCACCACTCTAGTTTCCTACCTCCCAAAGAAAAACAAGAATGTAGTTCTTCTGAGCACACTGCACAAAGACGGCGACACTAGTGACCGTGAGGACAGGAAGCCAATCATTATCCTGGAATTCAACCGAAACAAAGGAGGTGTGGACAACCTAGATAAGGTGATTGGAGCATATAGCTGCAGAAGAATGACTGCCCGCTGGCCCCTGGTCATCTTCCACAACATCATTGATGTGTCCTCCTACAATGCCTTTGTGATTTGGATAGAGATCAACCCAACCTGGATGTCTCATAAGCACAACAAGAGGAGGGTGTTCCTGGAGCAGCTAGGAAAGGCACTTGTAACTCCACTCATTGAAAGAAGGAAGCATGTCCCCCGCACAGAAGCCTCAGCAGCAGTTGTGAAAGCTATTCAGAGTGCAGCAGCTCCTGATCAACCTGAGGATCCATCTACCACAGCCACTTCCCCAGCTAAGCCAAGTAAGAGGAAGAGATGTCAGTTCTGCCCTCAGACTGTAAAACACATACTGTGTGCTGCAGGTGTAAGAAATATATCTGCAAAGACTGTGCACTTGCATACTGCCCTACATGTGCCAATTAGTTGAATGGGTTATGTTATTTTTCATATTTTTGTATTGTACATCCTCTTGTTCACTGGAGAAAAGTAAAAGAAAATTAGTCACTGTGATGAATAAAAATGCATTCGAAACTAATTTTGCACATTTTTTTTCTTAAGCTATAGAAATTCAAGTGGAGAGGGAAAACTCAAGTATTCACACATTTTGTGGTGAGTGACAATATACAAGATAGAATTTGGTGTTTAAAATTCAATTAAGCTGCTTATATTGGGGGTTTAGTGAAGACGGGTCATTTTGACCCGGAGGATAAAGGGTGTATACAGAAAATGAGGACAACAGGACAACAACGTGTCTGTGTTGAATTCTCAACTTCCAAAATATCATCAGTTCATTGTGTAAGTCTTAACATGCATAAGTCTTAAAGTTGTCATAATGTGAATCATATATTAATTAATTTATATTCTATTATTTTCCAAATCTGTCCTGAATTGGTAAATTGCTCCCAAGTGAGTCCTGAGTTTCTCTAACAGGTCAGTGTATGAACCATTAGCTCAACCAACGATCAACCAGTTTTCTGAAACAGATTGGAGGTGCATCTTGTGAACCATCAGTTGGCAACATTATGCTCTATATAGTCAGAACACAACACAATGTTACATGTCTGAGAACTGATGAACAAGTATCTGGACAGAGTGAACAGCCAGAGAGAAGAAGAGGAGTGAGGCTGAGGAGGAAATAGTTGGGAGGAAAGCAGAAGAAGAGTCAGAAGAGGCTGAGGACATCTGCCAGTTTCCATCAGTCCAACATCAGGACATGGCTGAGACCCACAACATGACGCTGATGGAGGTCCTCCCACCCTACTGTTCATTCCTTAACCCCACTGAGGAAAAAAGATCCTCAGTGGAGTTAAGGAACAAAGTGACTATGGAAATTAAAATGTAATGTAATTTCTACAGCACTGTACAGTTTTCCTTGAGGAGATTGTCCTGTGGCTCCTTTTCTACTTTTTTTGTTCTCTGCATTTCTGTCTTTTTCTTTATGAATCACCAAGGCATGGTCCATGAATAAATTATAGCAAAAGCGTAAATCAGTGTTTCTCAATCCTGGTCTTCAGCGTCACCCTGTCCTGCAGGCTTAGGTATTTCCCTTCTGCCACACACCTGAATTGTATCTCTGGATGATTAACAAGCTTCTGCAGTACTTGATTGTCATCCAATCATTTGAATCAGCTGTTCTGGAGTAGAGGCACATCTAAAACATGCAGAGCAGGGGGTGGTGAGGAGCAGGGTTGAGAAACACTGGCGTAAATGATCCTTTTGTAGTCTCTTCTCATGACTAATCAATTTGACTGTCTTATCTGTACATAGAGAGACTATAACTTATTATTTTGAGTCACTGATATGTTAACAGACAGAATTTTAAGAGCTGAACTAAGGATTTTGAAAGCAAACAAATGCTATTTTTCCTGTTTCTACAAATTGTTTTGAGAAATGCGCTTACTGTTTTGTAAATGCCAACAATGACTTGAGAAATGCACCAAAAGTGACTGAGAAAAACTAACCTAGCATAAATTGTCTCAGCTGTATCAATTTGTTTGCCTGTATGAAAAGTGTTCACATTTACAGCTTTGTTTCTGCTAGCTTGCAGGAAATGTAACTTACATAAATGGTTGAAGACAACCTATTGGCCTTCATGAGACTCAGATAAATGGTGAGTATCTATTTCATAAATTGCCTAAAACAGTTATATTTGTTTTTATTTGTTTTTTGTTTGTGTATTTTGTCTGGTTGCAGACCAGAGGATCACACCTGTTGACAACAAACAAAGGTTTAACTACTGAATTTTCAGTCAGAAATGATCGCACCACCTGGTTGAAGTACCTGTGTCCATATGCAAGTCAACAAAGGTGAAACAAACATTTAAGCGAATAAGATGTTCATGTAGTGCATCTTTCTAACTTTTTCTTTTTGTTTTCCAGCAGAGAGGAAACACCCGATTGACAACATGCGAGTCTCAATTTCAACCTGTGACTGGGAAGACTACAACCATCCTGAGCAACGTCTGATCTCAGCGACTTGTGACTCTCAACCCAGAACAAGAATCCTTTTATCACCATTTTGTCTTCTACAATATGTTATCTCTTATGTGGACACATACTGTTTGTTTTGTTTCTGTTTTCCAGATCTCAGTAATACCGTGAGGAAACTGGACAGAAAATAGAATCAGTTCTTTTTTTAACTTGACTTTTTAAATAGAAATTGTTTCTTTAAGTGGATTACTCGTAATCTGTATTTTTGTTTAATTAGAAATTATTTTCTTTATAACTTTCTGTATAGAAATGCTTGACAAGTTACACTTCCTTGTGTGTTGTACTATAATTTGTATGGTAAAATTCTGGTAGGAACAGAGACCAGTAATTTACCATAAGTTTTTTTTGGGGGGGAGGGTTTACAATAAAATGTCAATATATCATCCAGTCTGGATGTGTTTTTCACTCATGGAGATATTATGCCTCAGTCAGCATGACCGTATTTACTACGGCAAAACCACATTTTATTTTTTTTTTAAATATTTTAGGAAGTACGGTATTTTACCGTATTTTAAAAATACGGTAGAATCCTGCATTTACAAAATACGGTAATAAACTGGCAGCTGTGGTTGCCAGAATTTTACCGTATATTAAAAATACGGTAAAATCCTGCATTTAGCAAATACGGTAAAAAACTGGCAGCTGTGGTTGCCAGAATTTTACCGTATTTTAAAAATACGGTAAAATCCTGCATTTAGCAAATACGGTAAAAAACTGGCAGCTGTGGTTGCCAGAATTTTACCGTATTTTAAAAATACGGTAAAATCCTGCATTTAGCAAATACGGTAAAAAACTGGCAGCTGTGGTTGCCAGAATTTTACCGTATTTTAAAAATACGGTAAAATCCTGCATTTAGCAAATACGGTAAAAAACTGGCAGCTGTGGTTGCCAGAATTTTACCGTATTTTAAAAATACGGTAAAATCCTGCATTTAGCAAATACGGTAAAAAACTGGCAGCTGTGGTTGCCAGAATTTTACCGTATATTAAAAATACGGTAAAATCCTGCATTTAGCAAATACGGTAAAAAACTGGCAGCTGTGGTTGCCAGAATTTTACCGTATTTTAGAAATACGGTAAAAAACTGGCAGCTTTGGTTGCCAGAATTTTACCGTATTTTAGAAATACGGTAAAAAACTGGCAGTTTTGGTTGCCAGAAGTTTACCGTATAAAGACGGTAAACTTCTGGCAACTCAGCTGCCAGTTTTTTACCGTAAAATGAGGCCGTTTTTTTTTACAGTGTAGCTAAAATGACAGAAGTTGTGTGCTGACTCTTTTGGTCCAACAGTAATTAACTTGATTTCCTTTTAATCCAGATGAAAAAAATGATGGTTAATCCACACAATTTTTGTTCTATTGATCTACCAATGCTTGGATTTTTTCCCCAGCTTTTTATTTTTATTACACTTTCACAAGTACAAAGCAACAAAATTTACTCTTTGCATTTAACCCAACCCTTTGGGGCTCTGAGGGCTGCCATTGTGCGGCATTCAGGCAGCAGTGTGGGGGTTAAAGGTCATACTCAGGGACCCAGAGTGTCTGTGGGAGTGGGACTTGAACTCAGAACCTCAGTATTCCAAGCTCTATGCCCTAACCACTAGGCTGCCACTTCCCAAAGTAGGCATCAGCATGAAAGGTCTTGCATAAGGACCCACACTGGCAGCTCATTCCTCCCAGCTGGGATAGAAACGCAGGCTTCCTGTTTGCAGGACAAGTGACTTACCGCTATAGCTATCCAGCCACTAGCTCAGTCGGATCTCTTGGTGACGTTGTAATATCTAGGTAACACTAATGATCTTGTTGTCAGTTATAATCCAAGCTAGTGGCAGCATGTAGAAACTGAGCCAGAAATCGATCAGATTGAACCTTGAGGAGGCTGCATGTAGTGTTTTCAACTCTACTGTAACATCACCCATTAACATAATTAAGTCATTGTCCTTCAAGTAGGACTCAAACAAGTCAGGCACTGTACCAGAAAAATAACGGCCGAGATCTTTGTTCACTCCAGTTCATAGATACTTCATGAATAAATTAACTAACTAGCTAGAAAAGAATAATTTATTGGGATAAAAAAGCCTTCTGGGTTAAGTTCAAATTACTACGTAAAATGTATTGAAAGCATACGTTGTGGTTTTGTGTAACCTCTGCTGTTTAGACACTAACATAATAGAAAACGTACATTAAGAAAAATGATACAGAAAATATAAATAGTTAAAGCTACAGTGTGTAACTTTTAGCGACATCTAGCGGTCAGACTGCAGACCGCAGCAACATGAACATCTCCCCCCCACCGCTTCTCCCCCCCAACAGTACGGCGAGCGTTACGGGACAAAATGTCTTCCACAACATCCGCATCACCTACCTTCTCAAGTGATGAGGTTTGTTTACATAGATAATTTTACAGATAGTATTTCATTAGTCTGTGTAGGGTTTAGATTTCATGTAGACTTAAGATAATAAATATACCCGTTATTTTTTCTACATCGTTGTGACGTTTTGACGATCTCGCAATCGCTAGTTTGTTGGCTCTGCACTGCCGTAGCGCAAAGATGTCTGCCTCCATTGCTGCGAGACCCGCTCCTATGTCATTATAAATAACGAATTCTAAGGCAACGCAAATATTAAGGTTAAGAGGCTGAGCTCGTAGATGATGATAAGTAACATAGTTATGTATAATATATTAGTTAATATATTAGTTGCAGTGTAGTGTATTTATTTAGGCTTTTTCTTAAAGAAATATATTTAATGCCAACCTAGGTTTCTGTATGTTAGCCTTAATAAGCTACAGCTTCTATCTTCAGTACACCTCCTTCTGGTTCCTGCTAAAAGTGTTTTAATGCTGATCAGCTTGCTGAAGTTTAAAGCTATCATTAGCATATTTGCTCTGTTTTAGAGGTTCTTAATGATAATCCAGCTTGCGATTTTTTGGCTAGATGCATGCAGATAAAAAAAACGTACCTGCGTGGTTCTCACAGGATAGATGGAGAGAAAATTTGCTTCTTGCATTCTCTATTTGGGAACACAATTATGACCTTTATAAATCATCTAAGGTTAATGCAGAAAAAGACAAACCTTTGTAGCGTCTGCAATACAACTTTGCTAGTTTTACTTGAAGAAGTTGCCTATGATTTTTAGTAATTTGCTGTGAAACAAAAGCTGTTGATACATTTAGTATATATTTAGCAGACCAAACGATCGATAGTTTCTATAAAGTTTGTTTTGCATGAAACATCATAAAAGAATCTTACAGTTCTTCAGAACAAGGTTTAGACCAGGGATCACCAACATGGTGATCTGCAGGCACCGGGGGGGGGGGGGGGGCGTTGGGGGTGGGGGGGCGGGGGTGCCCACAGCATCCTCTGAAAACAGTAGAACTCACCAGTGGCCTAAAACTGAAATTTTTATTTTATTCTGTTGCCCTTCTTTTTTAATCATTTATAGAGCATTTCATCATTTCAATCATACAGAGTATTTAAGAATTTAAAGAGATTTCAAAATGACAATATCAAGAAGAACATTAGGAGTTAAAAGAAACAATAAAAATGTGTTTAATATGTATGAAGTTAGGTTGAATGCTGATCCTTCCTTCCTTCCTTCCTTCCTTCCTTCCTTCCTTCCTTCCTTCCTTCCTTCCTTCCTTCCTTCCTTCCTTCCTTCCTTCCTTCCTTCCTTCCTTCCTTCCTTCCTTCCTTCTCAATAAAAATATGTTTATCATGTATGAAGTTAAGTTAAACGCTGATCCCTCTGGTTCAAAGGTCAGTATTGTTGGCCCTTCCTATGACTCAATATACATGAAGTACCCCTCAGCCTTAAAAAGATTTTACCTTAGACTTCAGCATTTAAGATTATTATTTCAATGCTTTCATGTTGGCAGTTAACATTTTTAATAAAGGTTTTAAATTCTCCCTTTTCTTCCCTTTTTAGCGGTGATCACCAAACACCTCACCTCCAAAAATGTGCAGAATTTATTTGGTTTACATATAGACTCATGTAAAGCCGAAATCAGACTGTCTTTTTATCCATAGATCATCCTGTCATCAGATATGCAAAGTTGATAAATTCCCTCTGCTACGTTTACATACGGTGTGTAAACTTAAAGAAAGACAAGTTACCTTAAACAAAAATGTAACATTCCTCTCCTGTTTTTGTGTCATTTGTTGTCATTATGTTTTAATCCTCAGCACGCACAGGTATGTTTGTAGATGGCTGAAGATTCTGGAAGAAATATTTGATTTTCACCAAGTATGGGCTCACCTTTAGGGCTTATTTAAAGCTGTAAAGACCAAGCTACCAACTAACTTTAAACATGGTGGTTAGCTTTTTTATCTGTCCATTAATTTTCTACTCCCACTTAATCCTCGCAGAGGGCTGGTGATCGTAACACCAGGACAAGCTACCATACATGCATGCATTTAGATCCAACAGCAATTATCATTGCATGCAACGTTTTTCATTATAATATATTTTCATAAGAGGGACGTAACAGTTTGATTGTGCTTTCCTGCAGTTGTACATGGTCAACAAAGCATGACAAAATCTCTCCATCATACTTGGTGTTTCCCATTCATCAGAAGGTTATAAATAAAGATGTTACATATTGTATTGTGAATACCACAGTAGAGTATTCTGAAATTTAACGGTAATGCAAAACATACCAGTAAATTCAGCTCAGACTGGTTGACCAAATATGGTAGCAAGTGGGTGATTGATATTAAATGCTCCTGAGTAAAGGAGAAAATATTTGCTTGATGTGCAAACTTCTAAGAGACATTTGAAATTGGTGTGGGATATTGAAAATTTGCTGTAGAAATTGATTAATATATGTCCATAAGTCAGGTTTTCAAAGAAAAGAAACTTAAAAAAAAATCTCTGGGCTACAAATTTGGTGCTATTTAGAAGACGGTGCTCTGGGGAGACATTTCAGTTTACAAATGTTTCTTAAAGAGGATAAAATGAAACTCCAGGAATCTGATTTTATGTGGGAACTTTATGTAGCTCAATTTAGTTTAATTCCTTGTTTGCTAGAACTATTTTGCTTTTGTTGTTTCCATATTTGTTGTTTTATTGAAGTGTGACATGATTTGCACATGCTGAGGTAGGTAAATTTGTATAAGGAAGGAAGGAAGGAAGCCAGCAAATGAAAGAATGAAAAAGAAGAGCTGAGCATGATCCAGATCTACCTGCAAGAGCACACATATACCTCACATAAAGGTTTCAAATCAAATACTAATATATATTTGTTGCTCTTTTGATCTTGATATTAAAACAGTGATTTAAATTATAGGCCATATGGCCGCTCTAGAGGAGCTGCAGAGACTCAAAACTCAGGTAGGACAACATGTTAACAGGACAGCTCCTGTTTGGGGAAGATTGACAAGAAAGCCAGTGTTGGGGGAAAAAAAAGATAAGTCTTCCCATTTAAAGCTTGATGGCACAAATTTGTGGCAATAGGAATTTTGTTCTGATTAGAGCATAAGTGACCCTTAACCTACAATGGCAATGTTTGTCAGAAAACTATGGCAATACTGCAAATCAAATGGAGGACAAACCGTTTCCTCTGACAGAACACAGTGCTTGCAGCATCATGTGCTATAAACCCTTTTCCTAGAAGAAAATCTGCTAGAAGCTGTATAGTACTCTGGTC